GCACACAGGTTACATAGAAAATAAACACAGGGTCAGTCATAAAGGACTCAAATGTCTATACACCAATGCACAGAGTATGAACAGCAAACAGGGTGAACTAGAAATTCAGATTATTGGGGCCAGATATGATATTGTTGCCATTACGGAAACATGGTGGAATGAAACCCACAAATGGAACACACAGCTAGAGGGATTTAAATTATTTAAAAGAAACAGACCAAATAAAAGAGGAGGCGGAGTTGCTCTCTATATAAGAAACAATTACATCTCTACAGAAATAGAGCACAACAATCATGAAACCTGTCTTGAATGCATTTGGGTCAATATAAAAGGGGGGGAAATGACATTACCATAGATGTATACTACAGGCCACCCAACCAAACAGAGGAAATAGATGAACTTTTTACTAGTCAGCTGACTAAGGTATGTAGGAAACACATCACAATAGTAATGGGGGATTTTAACTACCCTGACATCAACTGGGAGACAAGCTCTACACCAAGTGGAAGATCAAACAGATTCCTTGCAAACCTAGCAGACAACTTTGTCTCCCAAAAAAGTAGAGAAGGGAACTAGGGGATTAGCCATTTTGGATTTAATTCTCACTAACAGAGATGAAATGATAGAAGGTGTTGAAGCCACAGGTACCTTGGGAGGAAGTGATCATGCAATATTGGAATTCAACATTAGGAAGCACAAGCAATAGAACACAGTCAAATTCGAGTCTTGGACTTTAAGAGAGCTAATTTCAATAAACTTAGAGAGGGCTTGGGAAGGATTTCATGGATGAGAATCCTCAAGGGTAAAACAACTCAAGCAGCTTGGGAAATTTTGAAAAATGAGATAATAAAAGCCTAGTCTAGCACAATACCAACAAAGAGGAAAAATAACAGCTCTCAAAAGAAACCAGCATGGCTGCATAAAGAACTCTCTGACAAATTGAAAGATAAAAAGGACAAGTATAGAAAGTGGAAAGAGGGGCACATAACTAAGTCAGAATTTCAGCAAATAGCCCGCGCCTGCAAAGGTGAAGTGAGGAAAACTAAGGCTCAAAATGAACTAAGGCTTGCAACCAAAGTCAAAAATAACAAAAAAAGCTTCTTTCAACATGTAAAAAAACAAGAAAAAGGTGAAGGAAATGATTGGTCCACTAGTGGGTGAAAGTGGCAAGAAGGTGATAAGCAACAGGGAGAAAGCAGAACTATTTAACTCATTTTTTGCATCTGTCTTTACACAAAGGGAAAAAACAGACCAACCTACCAAAAACAGTGCCACAAAAAACAGAATAGAAACACAAGTTAAGATAGACAAGAAAACGGTAAGTGAGCACCTGTCCAGGCTAGACAAGTTCAAATCACCAGGTTCAGATGGATTACACCCCAAGGTTCTCAAGGAACTTGCAGATGTCATCTCAGAACCACTGAACTATATTTTTCAAAGATCCTGGAGCACTGGGGAACTACTGGAAGACTGGAAAAGAACTGATGTAGTTCCCATCTTCAAAAAAGGAAAAAAAATGGACCCAGGAAATTACAGACCTATCAGCCTGACCTCAATACCTGGGAAGATTCTGGAAAAGATAAACAACGAATCAGTGAACACCTAGAGGCAAACAAAGTCATTACTAACAGCCAACATGAGTTTCTCAAAAACAGATCATGCCAGACAAATCTTATTGCATTCTTTGACCAAGTGACAAAATTAGTGGATCAGAGGAATGCCATGCATATAAATTACTTGGACTTCAGTAAGGCATTTGATAAAGTAGATCACAACCTATTACTTGATAAGATAAAAAAATGTGGGTTAGACAGCATCATCACCAGATAGATCCATAGCTGGCTGACCCGCCGTACTCAGCGTGTGGTCCTCAATTCAACCGCATCTACATGGAGGGAAGTATGTAGTGGGGTGCCCCAGGGCTCTGTTCTGGGCCCAGTGCTCTTCAATATCTTCATCAACGATTTGGACAAGGGAATAGATGGGAACTCATCAAATTTGCAGATGACACTAAACTGGCAGGAATAGCCAACACTCCAGAAGACAGGCTTAAGATACAGGAGGATTTCGACAGACTTGAACACTGGGCACTATCCAAAATGAAAATTCACCACTGAATTTCAAAAAATGAAATTCAGTGGTGAAAAAAGTAAGGTTCTACATTTAGGCAAGAAAAACCAAATGCACGGGTATAGTATAGCAGGTACCTTGCTCAATAGTAGTAACTGAGAGGGACCTCGGAGTCTTAGTGGACAATCACTTAAATATGAGCCAGCAGTGTGCTGCAGCTGCCAAAAAGGCCAACACAGTGCATTAACAGAGGGATAGAATCAAGATCACGTGAAGTATTAATACCACTTTACAATGCCTTGGTAAGGCCACACTTGGAATACTGCATCCAGTTTTGGTCACCGCGATATAAAAAAGATGTTGAGACTCTAGAAAGAGTACAGAGAAGAGCAACAAAGATGATTAGGGGAGTCGAGGCTAAAACATATAAGGAACGGTTGCTGGAATTGGGAGTGTTCCAATATCTCAGGGGCTGCCACAAAGAAGAGGGAGTCAAGCTATTTTCCAAAGTGCCTGAAGGCAGGACAAGAAGCAATGGATGGAAACTGATCAAGGAATGAAGCAACCTAGAACTAAGGAGAAACTTCCTGACAGTTAGAACAATTAACCAGTGCAACAACCTGCCCCCAGAAGGGATGAATGCTCCAACACTGGAAGTTTTTAAGAAGAGACTGGACAGCCATTTGTCTGAAATGGTATAGGGTTTCCTGCCTGAGCAGGGGGTTGGACTAGATGACCTCCAAGGTCATGAGATCTTTTACCTGCTTTGGCTGGCTGCCAGTTATCTTTCCTAGCATCTTCTTCATGACCTAGTTACCTCCAAATTACACTCTAGGAATGCATTCCCCATAGAAAAATGTCCAGAAGTTGCAAATGATACAAAATGTGGTAGCTTCGTCACTTGTCAGTGCTAAGCATTTTAACCATATTGTCCTATTTTAAGCTGCTGGTGCTTACTTTTAATGGTTGGAGAAAAGGTTATGTTAGTGACCTTTCCCTAATCTATTTTCTGCATGCTGTATTCATCTCTTGAGGTCCATCCTCATAGATATGTAACCACCAAGATTCATGTAGTGGTTGTCAATTTTAAACTCCCAGGTGTTGTTGGATTATAATTTTTCTACCAACAGTGCCAATAGCATTGGAACTTAGTGTGAATTACTTTCTACTGACTACTGGTCTAAATATTTCCTAAATGTTTTAAAAATGTCAAAACCTTTTACTGTAAAGAATTTTTAAAAGTTTTTTTTATTATACAAGTTTAGCTTTATTTTGCTTACATCATGAAATATACTTTTCTTGATGTTTAAGCTGGGATTTTAAGATCAATAATATGAATGGCTGACTTCCATTCATAATATAAAATCAATGATGGTATCTGGGTGCTGGTTTCTCTCTTTTTTCCAGGTGTGAATAATAGCTGTTCAAGCCATTTTAAGCTTTTATTGCATTTCTCATTATCTAAAGTTATTTCTTAAAAGAGAAGCAGGTATCATATATTTCAGTTTTACGTAATATAGCAAGCATATATGGATTGTGGGGATGAAGAATAAAAATAGATGTCCTATTGTTACCTTCCAGATGGAGATTATAATGAAAGTATTGATTTTGTTGCCTCCTGGGATTAATAGCAGCATTCAAAATGTGATAATAGTAGTAGTATATTACATGTACAATGGGTTCCGTATCAGTATTCTAATCTATTTTATACAATATTCTGCTTTTCTGTTTTCATTTCTTTGACAAACTGTAGTAGAATTCATCTTATTTTGCACCATTTCTTTTCACACTACTGTAGTTTTCTCTAGGCAACTTGCTGTATAATGGTACTGAATCAACGGAGAAGATATTAGGATGGAGCAAAATAAGTTCTGAGGCAAAGAGGAATTCAGAAAATATGGGCACATTTTACAGTCATGAATTATGATATACAGAGACACAAAGTTTTCAGACTCAGGGCTCCAAAGTTATCCTCCATTTGTTCTATCCTTCCTTCCTTTAATAGATTTATTTTCTAATACAAACTGATGGAAAAGCAGTGAGAAACCACAGTTTTCCAACAGGAAGACAACAATAGCCTGGGAGAGGGTTGCCCAAAATGTATTGACACTAGACCGTTTTTAGGTATGGTTGTGATTTTGGTTGGGGGTGGATTAGAATAAGTGCAGCTTTCAGAGAAGGTTTCTTGAGTGTTGGATGTCACAAAGATATTTCAATTAAAGAGTCTTTCTCTAAAACATAACCATGATACAGACATGCCCCAACAGCCTCTTTTTTCTACAATGTCCCCATGATGTCACCTTCATCTTGTCCCCAACTCATATCTGAAATAACTCAAAGTCATCCTTAGTTGTTCCAGTTTGATGTAGGGTTTTTCCTCTTAGCCAAGAGGCTATAATGGTAGTGGGGGGGTTGTGTAGTGAAGCAGAAGAAATAAGTGGTGTGTGTGTGTGTGTGTGTGTGTGTGTGTGTGTGAGTGTGTGAGAGAGAGAGAGAGAATCTAGAAAAGTATTAAACCCTTGTTTAAAATATGCCTAAAATTTGTAACTTTGAACAGTCACTAAATCAGTGGTTCTCAACCTTTCTAATGCCGCGACCCCATAATAAAGTTCCCCATGTTGTGGTGACCCCCAACCACTTATACATCACTGGGTGCCAGGGGCGTGGCCAAAGAAAAGGGGGAAAAAATGGCGGACAGCCTTGTTTGGTGACCCCCATGAAATGGTCGTTCAACCCCAAATGGGGTCCCGACCCACAGGTTGAGAACCACTGCACTAAATAAACTGTTGTAAGTTGAGGACTACCTGTATAGATAATTCTGAGGCTTCCTGTAATGTTTAAGTCTCAGGTTTCTGAATTTTATTTGTCTCTGAACATCTCTTATTCTCCCTCCCCCCCCCCTTTTCTTCTTTCTTTTCCTTTCCCTGCAGCAGCTTCAGGGAAGCCACATATAATTCAGTGTCGATCACCTGAAATGGAAACATTTTCATGTTACTGGAGTACAGATGATTTTCCTCATAAATTGGAATCGGAAAAAATTCAACTACTATACTCAAAAAGGTACTGAGAAATCAATCAAGTCCTTGAAAAATATTATCTAAAATGAATTCCATTTTTTTGAAACTGCAGAAATAAAGACCTACTTACAGTTATGAGCACATCTTTCTTTTCATACTTATTAGTCTATGCCAGTCATAACTGTTGACATGGAGAATCTGAAGATCAATTTCTGTTTGACACATTAAATGGCAACCAAGTTTAATGTTATGGTTGGATAATAGGAGATTGTAGTTTTCTTCCAGACTAATCTTGCTTGTTCGGACACAAGGGAAAAAAAATTTAACCATGTTATGGTGTGCAACATGTTAAACAGACTTTGTAAGAAAATAAGAGTTCTAATGAAGAAAACCGAACATATATTTTCCACCTCTAACTTTGTGCAACCAGATGCCTCCAGGAAATTCTTAAATAAAGTTTAAAATATTGTTGCTTATAATCCCTGGCTTCTGGAATCCCAGTGACACATTGTTTTTCCACTGGGCTATTGCATCTAATAATAATTACCGGTAGTAGTTTTTAATGAATTTCTGTAATGCTCTTTTTTAGAACCATCTAGTGGCCATCAAATCATTCAGTTCCACCAAATTCCATATACATCTACAGATAAGCCAATTGTGAGAATGGAATCTGTTAGGGAAAACAAAATTTATTCATACAAAACATGAAAACAAAGTCTTTCAGAATATATTGAAAAGCATACAAAATATTCAGGATATTACAATATACACTCATGGATCAGCCCATACATGGAGAAGTCAGCCCTCAAATTTTTAACCAAAATTCCATGAAAAATGAGTCTCATTTTTCATGGAATTTTGGTTAAAAATTTGAGGGTTGACTTCTCCATATATGGGCTGATCCATGAGTGTATATTGTAATATCCATATCTTCCAGGGTTTTTATACTCAGATGTTTAGTTGGGTTCACATGCAAAGTTATCACATTTTCATTGAACCCAACCCATACCTGAGGCAGTTGTCTTTAGCTTTTCTGGCACTAAAGCAATGTTTTCCCCTTTAAAAAGCCAGCAAATTGTAACAATTTTATCATGGGAGCTCAGAGCATATAGCATGGTGAAGTAAAACAGAGAATGGCTTGAGCACATAAACCTATTAGTTTGTTTGTTTGATTGATTTTTACACTGTCCATCTCACCTAAATTACTCTGGGTAGTTTACAAACAACATCATAAAATAATGTAAAAACATGACTTAAAAGCACAGTTAAAACCAGACTTCTAAAAAATCAAGGTTAAAATTTATAAATTAAAAATTTTAAAAAATCAAAGCTAAGAAATTGACATGGCTAAGGGGTTAACAAGGTGGAGGAAGTACCCTTAAGCCACCAGCCATCCCCAAGGTTGCATCACACTCTGATCCTGCCATGTCAATTGGCAGAGCCAGGTCTTAACACTACTCCAAAAGGCCAAAGGAGTGGCAGCCCATCTTATCTCTTAGAATAAAATATTCTAAAGGATGGAGGCAACTGTTCTTAGATCCTGCCAGTTGAAATTGTTGGGCAGGTTGCTTTGGAACATGATTAGAGTGCACTTCATGTTTACACATAATCTGAACAATACCTGACAGGTTTAGCCGTGTCATTATCGTACATTTTGTATATAGTGTCTTTTGTTGTCATCTCTATTGGCATTCCTATTGTGAAGCCTTAAAAAAATAAGAATACCCTCTTTTTCTCATTCAAAATATTGCTACCTCATTTAGCAATAAGTAAACAGAGAGGTTGATGAGGCATTTTTCCAGAATGAAGAACATATTCATATATATTGGTTCAACCCTCTCTTTTCCTTTCTAACATAATACATCTTTCCAGAAGCAAATGTGAGATACTAGAAATTGGAAAATCACAAAAATGGAAAACAGGAAGCTTTATACCCAGCCACACTTGTGGTTCTCTGGGCTGGCCACAGGTTTCCCCTTCCTCTTTTTAAACAAAAATTAATATAATAAGTGCTAAGATGGTCAGTATCTCTAACAGTGTTATGTTACTCAAATAATGCTTTTTTGCTTATTAGTTTTCCCCCTTATTCCAACACTGTTCAAGGACAGTTATAAGATATCTAAAAACATTCTACTAAAGTGTGCTGAGTACCAGGAGAAGTAAACAAAGAAGTTTATTGTTTTTTTCAGGTTGTTATGGGCACATCCGATTCCTTCTTGCCCCTCATTAGCCTCTTCTGCCATCATTCTGTTGTGGTACCAATGCAACATTGGAAACTCATCGGATTTGCACAAGGGCAGTAGACTGCTCTAGCTGGCAATGATAATTTGCCCAATAGTGTCCAAAGTTCAAATAGATAATGGTCTAATGAACCTGCAGTATTTTGACAGAATGGGATCTGAGAGGAGGGACAGACAAAACAATATAGTGATACTTGATGGAGGCCTGATGTCAGGTCACCCTATTCAGTTCCTGCATTAATGTGATTAATGATGGGTCAAAGAGGGAGGGCAGCAAGGCTGGTGGATTCAGCCAATCTCTTTGTTTATCACAAAGCACACAAACAAATTCAGGACAATGCCAACTGGCAGTGATCTAGTACAAATGCAGTAGAATCTGCATAAGGATGGGGGTAATAGATGCCATGCCAGAAGCTTGTCAATAAGATTGCAACTTGGTAATCAGAAAGGTTCTACCTACCTCTTTCCAGTTCTTTAATTCCACCTTAATTATTTGGTTTATCATTTCTAGGTTGGATGAGGAGGAAGAATGGAAAGACTGTCCTGATTATACAACTTCTGGTAAAAACAGCTGTTACTTCAATATATCCTTCACCGCCGTTTGGGTCCCTTACTCTGTTCGGCTTTACATTGCAGATCAGTTATACGATGAAAAACATTTCCGGGTGGAGGATATAGGTAATTTTTTGATATGAATCTCCTCTGTTTTGCCTCGTAGACTAGAGCAAAAGTTTCACACACAAGTCTCAAAGTTCATAGCTAAATGTCTATGGAGATTCTCAGTTATCCAGGCCAAAGCTGCTTTTTCAAGAGGCAACTGGATGAAGATGTCACTTATGCTTCCCAGTTCCTACCTATCTATTCTTTATAACATAGAGAAGCATGACTTCATTGCTCTTGTCTAACAGGTTTAGTTCAGGTTCAGTTTGGTTCTAGTAAGTTCTAGGTAGGTCTTCCCATAACAACAATCCTGTGAGGTGTGTTAGGCTGAGAGCAAGATCTAAAATCACTGTTCACCATTAGAGTGGCTTAATTCAAGACCCTATTCAAAATTAAAATAGCTAAATGTGAGATCTTGAAGCAGATGTGGTCAGTACTCTACATAAGGTGATGATGAAGAGAGGGAGCTGTCCCAGGTACAAGGGTGGCATCTTATTCAACTGTATGAAAACTATTTTAGGGCTTGTGATACAGTGTTCATGTGTGTCCTGCCTCAAATTGGAAAACAATGCATTGGTACCATTTTTCAATAACTGTGCTGCCAAAATGTGACAGTCATATCCTGGGGAACATTAAGAAAAAGTTAATGGATTGTAATAACTTTTCAGATGCTATTCCTCATGCTGCCCTAGAAGATCACTCCTGGTCAGAATCCCAAGCTGCTTTTTATGCATAGGAACTACCCCTCTTCAACACAATTTCACAATACAGATTCAATTTGTGCATCAAATATTTTAAGTATTTTAAAGTATACAATCAGTCTTTTCAAAATAACACTGTGTGTATTTATAATGTGTGTTGATGGGGAGGGATGAATGGATGGACAAGGTATACTGTTAGATGACCTTTTCTTTTACATTTTGATTAACTCTGTGAAAAATGTGTTTAAATCACAGTAATTCCAGATCCTCCAGTTGGGCTGAACTGGACAGTGCTAAACACCAGCCCAAGTGGCGTCTATACTGATGTTCAGGTTACTTGGAAGCCTCCACCCTCTGCAGATGTTGACAATGGATGGCTCATACCATTCTATCAGCTTCAGTATAAAGACGTCAATGCAACAGAGTGGCATGAAGTATGTATTGCAAGAGCAAAACTTAGAGACTTTCCCCAACCAGGGCCATCCAGGGGTATTGGGAATGAGAGATAAACATCAGGGATCTGCAAAAGCTTAAAAGCTTGTAATTTACATTTTGGGAAATACTTTGAAACCAGTACCATAGGTACATCTGCACAGTTGCAGGTCAGTGAGTTATATGCTCATAGGCTCTATAAAACACACTCAATTTTGCTATGTAATGTATATTGCAAGTGGAGCTAGCAACAAAATTTAATACTTCCACAATTCTGGATATCTCTATTTCTCATACTGTGTTTTCATCCCTTGTCTCATGTATCCAGTATTTAATATTCATAAATGGAGATTCCACTATTATTAGACCTCTGATGTTTTCCCCTCTGCTTCTCTACATCCTTCTTGCATATGGATAAGGCCAAAGCACAGCTTGAACTTGAAAAATAAGCATTTTATGACATCAACAATATACACTTCAACCATGTAGTCCAGAAAATAAACTTGTACAATCAAGTTCACAGCCTGCCTTAAAAAAAGTGGCTTCACATTTAAGCATTAGTGTAATATATTAGTGTATATACTTACAGTATATAGATTCATAGAGTTAAGAGGGATCTTGGGGTCATCTAATCCAAACATTGCTCAGAGGATCCAGTAGAACATCTCTTGACAGTTGATCCCACAATTTCTTTGAAGACTTGTGGTGAAGGAAATGTCACCATATGGTATCGTGTTCTACAGTCATCCTGATGTTTAGCTTGAATCTGCTTCCTTACAGTTTTAACATGCTAGTTTGCATCTTGCTCTCTAAGGTGACAAAGAATAAGTCCACTTCCTTTTCTACATTACAACACTTCAGATATTTTAAGACAGCTATCATATCTCTCCTCAGTCTCTTGTATAGTCTAGACATATCCAAAGCCTTTAACTCTTCCTCATAGGGCTTGTTTCTATGACCTTCACCTTTTCAGTAGCCCTCTTCCCAGCTCACTCCAATTTGTCACTGCCTTTTATGAATTGTAATGTCCAGAACCAGATATAGTATTCCAAGTGGGATCTGTCCAAGGCAGAGTAGAGTGGCAAAATTATTTTCCGTGAACTGATTTCTATGCTTCTAAATGCATCTCAAGATATCATTTGACTTATTTGCAGTTACATCTCACCTCTGGCTCATGTTAACTTGAAATCAACGATGGCATCCCCAAACCCTTTTACATTTACCTTTATGAGCCATGTCTGTCCCATCCCATATTTGTGCCCTACATTTTTCTTAGCTAGATGCAGAATTTCTCCCTATAAATTTCTCTCCATTTCAACCTGTCATTCAAACTATCTCTTTTTTTCTTCTAAAGTCAACCTTTCCAGTTTTGTATCACCTGCAAAATTCTTCAGTGTCCACTCAACCCTCATTCAATTCCTTGATTAAAAAGTTGAAAACTATTAGAACCACTTGCTGATACATTAGCTCTAATGCACAATACAGATTGAGGTAATATTCAACTTAATACATGATAAATATTTCCCAGGTGTTTTTTTTTCTTACATGTAATTAAGGATTCTGGGAATTGAAAACTATCATATCTGGAAAGAATCAGGTTAAATTTAAGAAAGATTGTTCTAGAATCTCAAAACAATCAGATCCTAATTCTGCCTCCTTGAATAGTTTTATGTTTAAAGAATGCTTTTGCTTATGAGTAGCAACAATCAGTTGAGGAGATTCAATGTATTATTACAGCTGGATCCAAAACGTGCCACCGAAGTTCCAGTATATTCTTTAAAGACATGCCAAGACTATGAGATACGGGTTCGAGCAAAAGGAATACCTGGAGTTTATGGTGAATTCAGTGAAGTGCTGTATGTGTCATTTGATTTAAAAGGACTGGTGCCATGTGCGGAAGGTGAGAAAAACATCTTCTATGATGTTGCCTTCAAAATATTTCCTTAACACCTCACATTGGAACTCACTACAAATTGCTGTATGCCCATATGGTTCATTAAGCATGAGATGCTTGAGGATTTGTGTGTAAACTTCTTCTGAACCCAACTTTCCCATGGGAACAGAAACCATTCACAGAAATTTTAGCCATGCTTTTTATCCCATTTGTGCTAGCAACTGAATTGAGAGCACTGGTGAAAAGAAGCTGTAATGTTATGTGAGAATGACCTTGAAGACGAGGGGAAGAGATGCTATCTAGGGAACGATCAGTTCTCAGAGGAAGAAGCCCCTAGTAGTTTAACGGCCAGATAAAAAAAAAAACTTAGAAAGAACCTGCTGTAAATCATCATGCTGTTAAAAATGATGGCAAGAGATTTGTTCTTTCAGACTTGTAAGATTCTTTTGATACAGCTGTATAATAAAGTTGATTTAGCTCATCTAGTCGTATTTCCCCTCTGCTTCGCTTGGGAGGACTGACAGAAGCTATCATGTAAACCAGGGGTGGGCAATTCATTTTCCCAAGGGGCCAAAAGGGAAACTGGAACTGTTGTGGAGAGCCAAACTAATAGGGCTGATGCTGCCCAAAGGCAAAGGGCCAGATGTGCTTGCAGGCTGTAGAATGCCCATGTCTGATATAAACATATGGGCAGAGGGTTTTGTTTACACAGGTAGATATGTTGTATCCAGCTAGCTAGCTAGCTAGCTTGCTTGCTAGCAAATTTATATGGCTGTCCATCTCACAAGAAGAGACTCTGGGTGGTGTACAACAAAAATGTAAAACAACAAACATGTCAAAAATCAATATCACTCCCCCTGTTCCTCACAATGATGCTTTCAAAATACATTTAAATTCCAACTTTTGAAACTTGCAAGAGCATCTGAGAATATATTTTGGGAGTTCTCATTAGAGAACTAATGTTGAATCACTCCTGGATATATCACTCTCCAACGTAAAATTGACTTGAAAAAACAAGAGAAACTCTGAAAACTGAAACTTTAGAAGCTGAATGGTTAGATTGAGGAACTTTATTAAATAGCCAGTATTGTCTCATTATCGGATATCCGTGCTTTGGTGGGCTGATATTGCTGCTGTTGCATGAAATGAATTTGAATTCCAAGCAAATACTGTAAAAAACTGAAAAGCCCCAGTGAATATGAATAAGCAAATGGTATTATTTCTTACAGCAGAGAAGAAATGTCCATCACTGTTACTAACTGGATTAGAAATGTATTATTGGAATTCAGTTAGATCAGCTTTTCCCAATCCGGTTACATTCAAATCAGGGAGGAAAAAGGAAGGCAGATGTCAAAAGCATCATTGTACCATAAGTATCATTCCTTTTGTAGTGCATTGTAACATCTTGTGGGTTTATAAAAGGAATGTTGCTTACAGCATGCTTCTGTCCCAATGGTGTTGGACTTTAATACCCAGATAGCATAATCACTGGAAAATTGTAGGCATTGAAATGCAATTTATCTGGAGCAAAGTAGGGAGAGCTAAATAAGAAGGACCTAGTTGACTTACTAGGAAGATGCCATATATGGGAAATCTACACATCACAAACAAATATTTTCTAAACAAGCATGAAACAGCAAGTTGTTGATCAAAGAAATACAAACAAAACTGGGAGGTGATGCAAATGGCACATTTTAATTGTTTCTTTGTTTTATTCCAGAATTCCAAATTCCTTGGCCTTTGGTTATGGCCTTTGGAATAGTTGGCCTAATAGTGATGCTGTCCCTTGTCTTCTTTTCTAAAAAACAAAAGTAAGTTTTTGGTAGATTTTTACCTCTAATCTAGTCATCCTTTTTCTGTGGCTTTTCTCTAACAGAATTTTTTGACAGAATATTCTGGCTCTCCCAAGTACATTTGTTATTTCATCAGGGGAAAAGAGAAATAGCTTTATGACTAATGTTAGATCATGGTCATGCGAGGACCAAAATAAACTTTATTGGAGATATTGAAATGGGGAACTATTGAAAACTGTAGGGATAGTTTCTAGCAGTCAAAAATGACTTAAAAATATAACTTGAAGTATAATATTTGTACCTTTACTAAGAAATATGTAAACATTTTAAAATATCACTGTTACATGTATTTGCAATTCAGTCATATACTTGTATTATGGCTCATAAATTTCTACTTGGTTTGGGAAAAGCTGAAAAAAACATTCTTTTTCTGCTCAGGGAATGGCAGAAAAGAGAAGGAGCGTTGGTCCTTACTTGAAAGTGTTTTTACTTTCATTCCTTTGATGATGAGGAACTGATTTAGTCTTCAACAGCACATTAGCCAGTTTGCAGTATGATTGAAGTCATAAAGATTCTAGTTTTCCTTAACTCTAGGTCTTCAAACCATTTTCTGCTTTTCTGACATCAGCATTTTGAAATTGAAAGATAACATCCTTGGCGATTTCCGTGAGTCTAGAATGGGCATGCTAAGGAGACACTATAGGTGCTACATAGAGAGCCAATGTTTCTACCATCCACTATTCAGCTGCCCCTTAATACCAAGCCTAAGAAACTCAAGACAATGGAAAGGCTTCATATTATCAGTTTGTCATTCTCTAAAAAATGGAATATTTTGAAGGGAGAATTCTGGCTTATTCCCTTGGCTGGGACATCTTCATAATGAACGTAAGGACAGCACCCATTTCACTACTCTTTAGTTAGCTAGGATACAAATCCAGACTTCAGCATTTCAGAATGCTGGTTTGGATCTGAATGCTCCATCATATTAATATTCTCCCACATAAAGATGCTTGCATTTGTTGAGAAATAAATAAATTAAAAGTGTGTTGGTCTATATGAGCCTCTTGAATGTTTTCTTGAATTTAGGTGTGGAGCTACTACATTAGAAATAAAGATACCTCTCCTTTTATACATTTGCTCCACTTAAAATCTCTCCATCTCAATTTAAATGCTGACAACTAGAGTAGCCTTCTATTTTAGCACTGGTCATGCTTGCTGAACGTAAGTTCAAAAGATTAAGAAGATATAATGATAACAGCTATGCCAGTTGCTTCATCTATGTAAGTCCAAAAGATGAAGCAGAAATAAGGGAAAAGCAACAGTCATGCAGCAATTATGGAATACAGATGAAAGCTGCAAATGAGACTTCAGTAATAAAGGCTATTTACATTTGTGGGAAAGAATAAAGAGCAGGAGGATCTCCAATCAAAATGAAAATAGCCACAGAGATGGATTCTATTTCAGAGGGTTGAATTCAAAGACGGGATTAATATTAAAAACCTATCAGCCAATAACCAGGAGGAGGAGGAGGAGAAAAAGGAGAAGGAATGATAGACACACCTCCTGCAGGAAACTCCCAGTCCCTGAAGTGTCCACGTAGCACATACATCTTGTTCCTACCCTCGGATTCCCTAAGATAAAGAAAACATTGACAGCTCTGAAAAGGAATCTAAACAATAGTATCAATATCAGTGAGAAATGGTGCAATTGAAACACTAGAAGAAATAGCACTTCATTTTGGTTGAATTTTCTCTTACCACCTTCCCCCCCCCATTTCCCCCCCCCACCCTTAAAATTCTCTTCTTTAGATTAGGCTGAACCAACTTTATAATGAAAAGATATTCAATTTTCAGGCATTTGGGCTGATTATTGAGTCTTATTTGCAAACTTTGCTTTAAAAGAACTTGAGGGATATATTGGAATATTTTCAGCTTGCCCATCCATGTTTTGATATATTAGTAAATGGATTTCTGGCAAACGTGATGATACCTCTATCCTGTTGAGAGGCAACTTTTGAGTCTGAGAAGCACTGGATGATATGAGAGGAGACACATTTCTTGAGCCAGTTCTCTGTGATCTAGAGTTCCTAATGCTACAGAGAGGTCTATGCTATACTTCAGTTTTAATCATGAGATAACCCTGGCGTTATGTCTCAGACTTTTTGAGTTTGCACATCTAGGGTTATTGTATAGCATGTCTTCGGGTGACACCAGAACAAATTCAACAAGATAGCTGTGATTGTTGCATGGTGGGTCTCTGAAGGGTTGCCAAGATGGTGTGCTAGAGCTTCCCTAGTAGACAGTATTTGCTGAGTTGGTTGAGCTTCACTCAGGTTTACATACTGAGTACAGCAATTAGGATAACTGTCTGGCTACTGGCAGCTTTGTGGGAAAAGATTATGAATTAGACCATGCTTACAGGCAAAATAAAAGATTCCTTCCCACTGAAGGGGAATAGCAAGTGACTTTTTAATTAAAATCATAATTGCACTAGATTCATTCCTATGGAGGGAGAAAGAAAAGGTATTTAAAATTGCCACAAGCTAGCATATTGCTCCTTAATTGCTTAGAGCAGTGGTGGCGAGCCTATGGCACGGGTGCCAGAGGTGGCACTCGGAGCCCTCTCTGTGGGCACACATGTCGTTGCCCCAGACTTGCCTCCCCCCGTGACCCCCTCCTCTCCAGCAGCCCCCCTGAAGGAGAGTCGCCCCTGAGCGTGGCCCACACGGAGCAAAACAGCCAAGGACATGGCAGCCAGGCAGCGTAGACAAGACTCTGCCCTCACATCCCATCATGCAGTTGATGTTGCAGGGCGTGGGCAGAGGGTATGGCCGCCATAGTGCTGCTGAGCTGCCTGGGCGATCTGCAGCAGGCCCTGGAGGTGGTGAGTGGTCTTATGGGCAGGTGAGGCAGGGGATAGGGGGGCAGAGCAGGGGTGGGACGGAGTGGAGCAGGGCGGGGCCAGTTTTTGGGTACTCGGTCTCTAAAAGGTTCGCCATCACTGCCTTAGAGAATGCTGCTTTGTAAAGAAGCCAAAGAAAGGTTAAAATGCTTCACTGTTCTCAGAAACTATGTTAGGAGTCAAAGGAAAAGTACAGAATTACAGAAGACCAATTAGCTAAATTGCTGAACAAATTGGCAAAATTAATACATGAAAAACAAATACCTTTTATGACCCATAATTGAAATTCTAAATTATGGGAACTAGAATATGACTGGATGAGTCTATTCAAGAAAATCTGGAACTCCAAGCTTAGATTGAAAACGTATTAAAGCAGAATTTAGTATTCATAAACTGTAGTATATGATAAAGGAGTTATTTAAAGATGCTGGGTTTTGAGTGCAATGTATTAGCAATAGATCTGAACTAAATATTTTTAAGATTACTTAATTTTCTGTAAGTCAGAGCCTTTTTTATGAGGTTGAATAGGATGTCTTGCTGACAATCTGAAATGGCACAGTTCAGAATTTTACATATTTGGGGTTCCAAAACTGCCAGTTTGGGACTTGCCAAAATACAGCCATCTTCCCAAAATAAGCAATTTTATTGTATTACTCTTGATCAGTTTAGAAGTCCTAGAACTTAAATGTTAATCTTTCTTTTTAAGGCTGAAAATACTGATCTTTCCTCCTGTTCCAGTGCCCAAAATTAAAGGAATTGATCCAGACCTTTTAAAGGTAATGAGAAATTGATTGCTGTTGTACAAAATCAGTATATTTGAAGGTTTGTCTGCATAGCAGGTATGGATTAAATATTCTAAAATGGTCTAATATCTAAGGAAAAGTGTTGCCCAATTAGTGGCATAAATTTATGTAATAAATGTTTACACCTTTATTCTTTCCAGTTAGGGATTGAGATTGATTAATTGATTATGTGCCGTCAAATTGGTGTCAACTTTTAGCAAAGAATTAAGGGAGAACTGGAATAGCTATTTCGAACTCTTTAGCTCTTTTCAACCAGACATACCCTTCTGAGATTCGAACCTGGGCTGTCTGCATGTTAGGCAGATGTATTAACCTCTAGGCCACAGGCTCTGTCTCACTTTTGCCAGCTGTGTTAGGGAGGGAAGAAACAGGGGAGGAGTTATCTAGAATGCTGTATGTTATACCCTGTTGCCCAAATATGGGAGAGAGAAATCTTTTGCCTTGTATCAGCTCAAATTAGAGCCATCCACAGCTGTCTGCAGCTATTCCAGAACAGCGAGGAGTTTGACAAAAAAGCGATCTGGTATAGACTTCGGGTTATTAAACAATCATGATTCGAAGGATTGGAATGCCACGTGTAATTCCACCGGCGATCCTGCAACTAACTTCACTAATGACATTTCCCGATTGAGCTGTTATCGCCTTGGGAACGCAGGAGAACAACGGGGAGATGAGAAGCCTGTTCGCTATAATCTTAGAGCTTCCACACGCTCCTACAGACATTTGAGAGGAACGACTCCCCATAGGAATGCACAAGGAGATGCAAGTCACGACCGTAAGGATTCCGCCTCTCTCCTTTTAAGGAAGATTGCATACCCCCAAGTAATGAGCGAATACACAAACAACAGTGAAGGGACAGCCCCCTTGGGAAAAGGGGTCAGCAATCAATTTGTGGGCGCCACGAATTCTGAAGAGGGTGTTAAAATCACCCCCATTGAAGAGAAAATAGAAAAGGGAGTTAATAAAGTGATACGAAGGATCAGGAAACAGGATGATGTAAACACAGTGGAATCTTGGGCTACAGAGACAAACAATGAGGATATAGTTTTGAAAGAGGATCGTAATCAGAAACGGGGAGGAGAAGAGAAATAGGGAGTACTAAGAAGGAGGATGAGGAGAATAAACAACATAAACACAGACAGTGCACATCTAATTATGTGGAATTAAGGAGTCCCCCCGACTTACAGTTATGCAAAGAAGGGAGGAAGAGCTGCGGTACCACACAAGTAAGGAAAGTGAGGAAATTACAGCTTGCAACACAGAAACCACGATCAAAATGCAGGTGGATTGGCTGGGACCCATGACGAGGTCAAGAAGCCGGGCGCAAAGAACGCCACATTTATAAATAGCTTCTCCCATCGACTGGAGACTACCCTGATGATGCTGGCAGCTAGTGAGGAAACCTGCTTATAAGCATAGCCACACCTAAACTCTACGCATGGACCTTGTTTCCTCACTAGCTGGCTTGTATCCTGACGATGATGGCAGATGTTAGCTATCGAAAGCTTGATTTTATTTATTAAAACCTTGGTGTTTTATTTCCTGGTGATCGCTTCCTTTTTTACTGAAATGTATATATCCAGGATTCTTCAATTTTTAATGTAATTTTTATATATATATATATATATATATATATATATATATATATATATATATATATATATATATATATATATATATAAAAATTGTCCAGCATACTCTGTCCTCAAACTGATTCTTCAGGACTTCCAAGGATGCATCCATCACCTCTGTAATTGTATCCATCTATCTTGTAGCTAGTTGTCCTCATCTTTTCTCTTTCCTTCCACCTTTACCAGTATTATAGACTTCTACAGAAATAAATGTTACATGTATTGGGTCTAAAATGACTTCTGGTTTCCTCCATCCTTGAAACTTCTTGAAACTTCAGGTTTCAAGTCTGGGGCCATAATTTGTATGATCTTTTAATTAGGAAACTGAATAATTCTGTCTGAGTACAGTAAATACTATTGCCATGCATATAGAATTCATATATGAATGAATTTCAACAATAATTATTACTCTTTTGTTTTTAAACGTTTGTTTTCAGAAAGGAAAACTGGATGAAGTTAATTCCATTTTAGCAAGTCATGGTAGCTACATGCCCCAGCTTTATGGAGATGACTCTTGGGTGGAATTTATTGAGCTGGATATAGATGAAGCTGAAGATAGAACTGAAGGATCAGATACTGATAGGCTTCTTGGTGATGTCCACATGAAATCTCATGGCTGCCTTGCAGTGAGGGATGATGATTCTGGACGGGCCAGTTGCTGTGAGCCTGATATCCCAGAGACTGATTTCAGTGCAAGTGATACATGTGATGGAACTTCTGACATTGATCAGTCCAAAAAGGTAAATGATAAAGAAGAGGATCTCTTGTGCCTTGATCAAAAAAACATTGATAAATCAATGCCAGGTCTTGATGATGCATCTGCCTGCTTGCCATTAGATAATCCATCCAAAGAACAAGACCTTAAATCCCATATTCCTGCCACCGAGATAACCAATCCGCTTGTCCAGACCCAGTTAAGCAATCAAAGTTCAGTAAGGAACATTGACTTTTATACACAGGTCAGCAACATTACACCAAGAGGAAGTGTTGTGCTATCCCCAGGACAAAAAATGAAGACAGGGAAAACTCAAAGTGAAGCTCAGAAAGAACCACTTGCATGGTGTCAGCCAACCTTGGCCATGGACAATGCCTATTTCTGTGAGTTGGATGTGAAAAAATGTGTCACTGTGACACCTCCCAAAGAAGATGAGCCAGAAGTTCAAGTCCAGAGCTTTTCTGAGGATGCTTACTTGACCACCGATAACCTTGTCATTCATCCTATGAGCCCTGCTATGGTAGCAACAGCTGCAGAAGAAAAAGATCCAGAAGCTTCTGAGATACCTGTGGCAGACTATACCTCCATTCATGTGGTACAGTCTCCACAAGGCCTTGTTCTCAATGAAACAGCTCTCCGTGTGCCAGACAAAGAATTCATCATGTCTTCTGGCTATGTGAGCACAGAGCAGCTTAACAAAATCTTGTCATAGGTTTCTCTCTCTCTCTCTCTCTCTCTCTCTCTCTCTCTCTCTCTCTCTCTTTCTCTCTCTCTTTTTAGTATATAGGAAATAGTATTATCCCCAGCTATACAGAAGCCCAAAACACATATGGAATTGGAGTTTTCCAGTTCATTACAGTGTTATAGAAAACTTCTGAAGTTTGCAGAACACTTATTATGTGAATGGGGAGGCCAATTCCCAAAGGGAATTCCATGTTCCTATCTTTGACCAGAGCCAAGGTGTCCAATAGTTTCAGATGGTTGGTGATGATGTGGTCCTTTCCACTTTTACCTGTGTTGTTGAATCAATCATAGTATTGCTTTTGTGTCTTGTAAATATTGTCTAATCAAACGTTGCTGGTGCTGATTCAGTAGCATGACTGTCTTTTGTTATAGGTGTTGCTTTGGGCTTCTCCCAAACACATTGGTATCTGTGTCATGCATTGTAAATCATTTTTTCTTCAAAAAGCTAATAGCAGGTGTGGAACGTTGTTTGTTTGCTCGCTTGTTTGAACATTTTGAGATGTTTATACTGGGAATTAGAGAATGAAAGATTAGATAAAGAAGCAAAAAGAGTTTTGTTAAATAAATGATTATTATAGTTAATATAAATATAAATCTACTTTAATGCTTCAGATAAGCAAGCATGAATATTTTATACTTGGACTGCACACTGAGGTTTAATTATTATGATCAATGTATGGAATGTGTCTGCTGCAATTAGGGTAGCAGTTATCAAAAGAATAAGGAAAACATTTTTATATCTCCACCAAAGCTATAGAGAATTTTAAATTGCAGCACTGCTGGGGGGGGTGGGGGTTGATCATTTCTTAAAAGCACTATTCATATTTTTACATTTTGTAGCAAACCAAAAACCTACAACGTTGAATTTTTTTTTACTATTTTACAGCAGTAAAACCTAAGATAGATTTGGAATTTCTGGGCTTTTTAGGAATACAATTAATTTTTTATGACTAAATAGGCAATTTAATAGTGTTCTTTACAAGAAAGCGTTTACATCCTTTATTTTTTTTTAAAATACCTAATATTAATATAGAATCAAAGTTATCAGCATTTTAGATTTTGAATCAAATAAAAATACAAAATTCAACAGAACAGTATTATAAACAGTACAACTTTTTAATTTAGGATAATTTGCCAATTAATATTGAGTGTAGGAAAGTTTTAAAGAATTATTATGCTTAAGCCTTACATGCATCTGTTCCTTTCTCAAGGTACGCCTTAATATACTTAGATTTTATATTTTGTTTACATGAACCAGGTTTAAATTCCAAGACCTTTTCAAATATGCAGTCTGCTTGGTTTTTTTCCTTGCTGTTTTCCAGACTGCTAATCTTACTCTTAGCCTTAGCCGGAAGGTGACCGTTCCTAAACCTCACGGAAATGTTACACTAACTTCCCAGAGTCACTGATTTGATCTGGGAGTTTATTACCTAGAGGTAGAAAGTGTTGTGCCCTATAAAGGTTCCTTGTTCTGATTCAGAAAGCTTCTCCCCTTAGCCCTGATAGACATCTCTTATTGAACTTAGCTTGCCTGAGAGCTTTAGCAGAGGTTTTTTTACATTACCTATTGCCTGAGTCTATGTTTTTTAAAGATGTCGGGTCAATCGTGGACCCTTCTGCACATAAAACATGCATTATATCACCAAGCCACTAATCCCTGACAGGAGCAAAAATGTGAATGAGGAAACATAGTGAATTCAGAGGTACTAGGAGATGATTATAGTTGTCCCTTTATGGAAAGGGTGCAGATATTTTGCACTGATCACAATAATGGGAACCCACAAAAAAAAAAAAACTTTGGGAAAGGGGGAGGAATGCCTAGGATTTGCCTCTAAACTGGTCTTAAAAGGATTTAAATCTAGAAAAAAATCCTGCCTTTCCATTGTTGTTCCCTTTGTGGGCCATTACAGTTAATGGCCATTTGATAAGCTGTGATAATAATGAACATAGTATGTAGATTACAACTGCCTTCTTGGAAATATGTTGATATTATACCTGGGCGGTGGTTTTGTTAGTATTGTTTTGATTTGTTTTAAAGAAGTAAGCTGAAGGTCTTGTTACATGTATTTGCTATAGCCTTCAGTCTTAAAAACAAGTGTAGTGCAATTGTTTCTGGTTTACTTAGAAATAAGCCATAATATGTGCTACTGGGCCAACTTCTATGAGGTGGGCTTTTACGTTGGCCAACCTAACTAATAAGGGTGAAGTTTGTAAAAAGTTCGCATAGTATATCTCAATAAAGTCGCTTGAGATGACACCATGACAGAAAAAGAATGTAAGCTTCATTTATTTTACATTTTTTAAAAACTGACTCTTTTTTCCATATAGTTACTTATCTCACTCAGCTAATTGTCACTAGAAAATCTGGGAGATGGAAAGAGGATGGTGGGACACATTAGCAGGTTGTAGCTGACTCTGTCAGCAAAGAACAGCTAGAATGAAAAGAACAGCAAGTGAGCAGATCATAGCAAGCTTTAGTAAATATATGAAATGGTGCAGAAAACTAAAAATGACCACGAACCTGTTTCTCAGCCACTATGTTAATCCTGTGTTAAATAAGTAGGCTTTGAGTAGAAATACACATTTTAGCTGGAAACTGCATCATGTATAAGCATCTTAAAAGGAAGAAAGTTGCTCAGAATCAAGTCAGTGCTTCAGAAATAACCTTTTCTGATATTCATTCTTAGGCTTGCATTTGGCCTTTGTATTTAAGATGTATTTTGTCTAATAGCTGAAACCTTTCATTTTAGGCATATTGCAATTAAAGCTATGTAAGCCGCTCTAATGACAAGAGAAATTAATATTGTATTGCTCTTGTTGGATGTTTTTTTCCATCACCAAAAACTAGTTAAATACCTCAATCAATCTCAGAATGTCCTTTGGTACTTTTCTGGTTATGTAAAACAATATATCACAGTATGAAGATTTGTGTATTTCTGTTTTACGTATTTAACTTGCCTTATGTCAGTGTTCTGATTCCTTCCTCAAAGTTTAAATAAATTTATTTTCTTTAATTCATCATGGTGTTGTTGCATAATTTGTGGCCAAACTCTTACAATGAAGGGGAAGAAACAATTTTTTAAAAAACATAGTTTACTGTATTGTCAATGGATGCCATTTTTACATGTCATTTCTGTGCAATATAAATAAAACCCTGGAAAGTACATAAAGCATGATTGGCAGCTGTAATTTCCACATAGAATTTTTACATCTTGCCATCTGTTTCAAAAGGAAGCATATAAATTACTGAATAAATTTTAAATATCACAAGAAATCTTCACAATGTAGGACATGGCAGGTGGAAAATTTATCTAAATACCACAGGATATGTTTTGGCTTCATTGTGAACTTCTGGTTATACCAACAGAAGAGAATATATGTAGCTCAGAGTTGAACTACAGAGCCCTTGATGAATCTGGACGTTTTCTCAGATATGTTTCATAACACGACTAGGTAACGTCATCAATACACAGATGATGTTACCTAGTCAGATAGAAACATCTGCAAGCAAACAACCAAAGAGAGGTCCAAGGACTCCACATTTCTGATTGTGACACATGTAAAAACTCATTCCACTTCTACAGAAAACTTCACACAAGAGTTTAGAGATCCTCAGGTGCACTTGAGTGATGAACATTTTGGATTCATGATTCCTGAACAATTTTCTTTGTAATAGAGGATTAGGGGGCAAGATCTTGGGTCACATAAAATCAAAGCCTAGAAAAAGAAAGCTGAGCAAGTCTTAATGAAAATTAGACTTTCAGTGGAGGGGGGGAGGAACTATCCTTTTCAAGTTATTATTTCATTTGTGAACAAATCAACTCATTTCAAGGTTCTTATCTGGTGGGCATTCTGATGTTTGCTAATAAATGATCCTTGACTTAAAATTGGGTCTTCATTAATAAACTATGAAATATCAAACAGGATTTTCTTCTTCTCCATCAGAAAAAGTAGGAAGGAAAATGGTTGTACTGCAAAAAGGAGGGGGGGGGCTAAAACTGAAGTGTAAATATGGAAACTCTATAATAATAGTTTTTAAGCTAATAGTACATTTCAGAGGATCTGAGATAAAACTCAAATATGTGGAACAAATCATCAAGTATTGAATAGCAACAATGCAGTTTAAAAATTAGTCTGAGATATTTTTAATTAGAATTTGGGAAGATGAAATACAATATATTATTAATGATTAATTATTAATGTAAGAATGGCCAGAGGTTTGTTGCTTGAATTAGTAGTTTCTTTATTTCTTGTTTTATGAATTCCAGGTGTATGGATATCTTCCTATCTGACAGCAATCTTGAATCTAAATAAATTGATAGAACCACCAGGTTTCTGCTAAAGATGGGGGGGGGAGGTCTTCCCACTTTTCCAGTCGGAGAACAGACCTGAGGATATGGTGTAACTGGATGTTACCTTTGGTACAAGTTAGGGAGCTATTTCTATCAATATCAAGAGTTAAAACAGCAAGTAAACAGCCAGTTGGAATATCTAATCTCTGTGCTCTTTGTCATTAAAATCTCTGGTTAGCACTCATTAAGTGTGTTCCCTAGAATTCATTAAATTAATCAACCTGAACCTGAACCTGGCGAAGTTGCTTTTGGTATCGTTTAATATTTCCAAGTATTAAAACCTAGCATTAATTTCTTAGGCTTGCAGACATGTATCGTAATGAGCATAGATTATGGTCTCTGGTTTTAAAAAAGCAAACTATTAAGGATTGGAGGACCTTTTTTTGCTGTAAACAAACGTCTATTATACAATGATTGACCCATTAAATGGCGTACTTTAGGAAGTAAACTTTCATCCACTCTTTCTCTTACAACAAAACACAGCTGATTCTTCTTTCTTTCAAATTTGTAGAAAATTCAAGCTTGTTTCTTTTTTTTAGCCTACCTTTATTATTTATATAAATAATTCAAGGTGGCAAACATACCTAATATTCTTTCTTCCTCCTATTTTCCCCATACTAACAAGATGAGTTTGGCTGAGAGAGAGTGTCTGGCGCAAAGTTGTCCAGCCAGATTTCATGCCTAAGGCATGAAAGTGTGTGTGTCTCCCCCCCCCCAATTCTGGATTATGAGTGGTACATTCCATAAATTGATGTCCTAGGCCAGATTTTTCCCTGCCTGACAGTTCAGTTTCAGGGTGGTTTCTATCTCTGGTTTGTGTGTCACTTTATGATGCCGCATAAATATTAAGCCCATTGACCTTCAGAGCCTCTTGCCTTCTCTCTTAATGTAAACAACTTCTCACTGGGCATTCTGTGGCTCATATTATCAACTTATTTTCCATTCACTTCAAAATATATTCAGATAGTTTCCTTCAGAAATGAGATTGCCAACTAATGGATAAAACATACACTTGGCCTGCTCTTCTGCCTTCAAGGGTTATTTTAATGTTAAAAACCAACAGGGACAGGGCATAGCTCCTTTTTTACAAATTAAACATAATTAAATTAAACATAATCTCCAACTAATTTTTGCAGAGATAAGTACAAAAAATAGAGATGCAACTACAGGCATCTTTCTCTCATAGAATTATCACTCGCACCCACCATATTTTCCTCAGTTTAAGTGCAAGTTAACTTTAAAATATAACTTTTAAATGATGCACTATTTTTCCAGGATATATAGAAAATGGTGACATATTCTTACTGAACAATTTTGTTCTTCCTCTTTTATTATTTTAACTTTTAAACATATTTATCAATACTGTAGGTTTATATTCTGGTTTCAAGGCCTAAATACTTAGAAAGCCACTCACAGTATAGAAAAAAACAATGCATATATTATACTACATAAGATGTTATTCAGGAAATGTTGTAATAATTTCAAATATTTTATGGAAAAAAACTGATAACATTTATCAGTGTTGACTAAATGCTAGATGGCGATTTGGGGACTTCTCTACAACAGTCTAGTCTGCAGTTAAATGATAAGAATAGCACAATACATTGCAATCTCTAATGTTATACACACACAAAAATAACAGATAATAAGTTTCTACAAAAAAACCCTGCCTTTTTTTGGTTCCCTAAAGGCAAAATTATTACTGATTGAAAATGTTATTTACAACTGTCTAAATTTCAGTTATTTTAAAAAAAAAACAGACTTTGCATAGCTAGTGATAGCCAAATCAGAGAAAATGTCAGTGCTCAAAGCAGCATTGCATTTTAATTTTTTCACCTGGGCAAGCTGTTCTGCATAAGAAACAATGTTAACTATGTATACAGATCATCATGGAACTAGTACATTCAGTGTTTAAACTACAACAAACTTTCAACAAACTCGAAGAACAAGACTTTTTTTTAGCATAACACAACACAGACTTGATAAATAACATAAGTGGAGTTGCTTCAACAGTGAGATGGCTAGCATATAAATTTAATAAATAAAAATACACTGATGAATTTATAACTGGGAAGAGCTTAAAATATCAATAGTATATAAACAAACTGAAATTATGCAAGCAGAGCTATTTAACCCAAATACGAAATTTTTAATAATTTTTAAATATCAATATTCTTGATATTGATACTTGAGTCTAAGATAGGAATCTTACACATACTTAACAATAGCAATATTGTTAGCATATTTAACAATTTAACAATAAGCATTGCTGAATACAAGGCATGGCCTTGTCTACAAAAATGGCTGTAACATTTGTGCCATATGTTTTAAATTTTAGCTGTGGCACTTCTTACCATGTTAAAAAAAAAAAAAAGAATGCTAATTCTTCCCATGGAAATTGCTTCTCCTGGCAAAGGAATAGACCATTACACTTAAGATAGCATAATTTATACATATTTCTCTTTGATATACAGCAAATTGTGAAGCAGTCTTGCAACATGAAGAAAACTAGTATGGTGAATCTTGACAAACTTTTAGAAGACTTCTCACATATAGAAATGGTAAAAAATGAAGTAAAAAAAAATTATATCTAAATTCTTATATTTTCCTAGAAAGTTAGCAACTCAATAAGAGTCCCTCTGGATAACAAGATGAGTGGATATAAAATATATAAATAAATAAATATTTTCTTTCACTATGCCTTTGAAGTCCCTCCCTTTAGTGGTCTGATTATGCAGTGGAATAGAAAAGTGAAGTGGATGTAGCCAAGCTCTGCATAAGTTCTGATCTCATTTAAGAGATTCATCTCTTCAAGTCAATTAAATTTTCAACTGAAAATGCTTTTTAACTTTGAAGTAGATTCAGTAGAGACTGAATCAGTTGTTTTCTCTCAGCATTATGGGGCTGTTATTTCACTTACCTTTTTAATATAATGAGTTAAGCTTCAGGTGGAAGATCCATAGGTCAATAGAAAGCATGTCAGATTTACCTTCATAAGGAATTCTTGGATTCCATTTCTTCAAAAATAATTTCTGGAAAAGAGCTTAACAAAATCCCTGTCCTGAATCCCAATAGTTAGATAACAAATTTTATTGTTGTTTTATTATTGTTTTAATCAGTCAGTATTCAGTTTCAGAATGGCTATGAAATCAGTCCCTTTAAATTCACCATTCTCTGTGAAGCACATCCAAGATCATTCTGGTTTTTTTTAAGGGTCATGCTTTCAGATTTCTAATACTTGACAAATGTCAGTAAACATTCAGCATGTATTTTTTAAAAATAGATTTTTCTGACAAAATAATTGAGCTGGGAAGGAGATGTCATTTGGTATTCAAATAATTTCTTACAGAAAATGTCAGAACTTCATGGGAAAAATCATGTTCTGAATCTTGAGTTGGACAAAACAAATAAATTGCTAACAATAAGCCAATCAAGGGAAGAGATGGCTAAACAAGGTAAGCCTTCATTTCCTTGGCAGTATTTTTCACCAGACACGTGTTGGATCCATAAAATGTGTATGTGGATACTATCTTTGTGTAATGAAGATAGTTCAACAGCAGAGCAGCCCCAATACTCTGCCTAGTGGCAATGAACTTTTCCTTGTTGTTGCACCAGCCCAAAAGGAGCTGGCATTCAAAGCATAGGGGTTTTGTAGTGGGAAGAGCAC